ATGATCCAATCTCGGACATATGCAGTGGACATCCCCACACGGCAGCTGCCCCAGGAAGCAGTGACTGACCTGCGCGGCGACGGTCTCGCCGACGTAGAAGAAGGGAAGTACTCATAGAACCAGATCTACATGAAGCTAAAGTTATCAGTAAATGTTAACTAAAATGAAGAGCTAAACTTTATAGGGAATAAGGTTTACCTCTACGACCCTCCAAAAGCTGGACAAAGCCACATTCGTACCAAACGACCGATGTCGACACGAGTCCCTCAGTGCTCGAATGAAGTCAGCGTAGGCCAAGCTGGCCCAGTCATAGGTCCCGATCCGGTGTAGATCGCGGACGGCCGGAAGGTAGTAAAGCAGCGCCCTACTACCCTTGTCAAGGGAGAACGTCCCTAACAACAAAATAAGTGCAAATATGTGCACCCGCTGCTCTCGGGTGGTCGCATCATCGTCCAAAGCCGCTGCTAGAGTCGAGCGGCGAATCCCCCTAGCGCTGAACTGAGACGACTCTACCTCAGCTCGAGCCCGAATAGCAATCGGACCCAATAGCTGCTCGACCTCAGGGGAAAAGACGTCGATCCCGCTGTCGAACGACAGTGGCACGGAACTAAACTCCAATCTTGTGATGAGAGTGAAGTCGGTAGGAGTGACCATCAACACACCCCAGGGAAAGTGGAAAGTGTTGGTGGTGTCCCAAAGAACTCCACCAGAGCACGAACTACATGGTGACCCCCGCTGGAGGCAACCATCGCCTTGGAGGTCTCGTACAGCGCAGTAAGATCGCAAGACTCCCATAGAGGTCTCGTACAGCGCAGTAAGACCGCAAGACTACCATCGCCGGAACCATGACAGCGCGTCCTCCCAACGGTGATACCCCGTCTCACCCTCTCAGAAATGTGGTGGACCGGAGAAAAGTACAGGGTCCGCTCATCCCACTCGGGGAGTCGACCAAGTGAAGTGGACGGCTCAGCATCGTCCTCCATGGGCTCATGCTCCCGTCGAACGTCTCGGGACTGTAAACCGGAACCTCCCTATCTAGCCATGCTACATTGTGCAAAATTATCATAAATTAAGGTGCTATAGTATCTAAGGTTCGCCTAGCCGCATGATACTATGTTCGCAAAAAAAAAAAAAAAAACAGAGTACGTAGTACTAAAACAGAGCACAAATTCAAATTGATCATACATGACATTTTTCAAGAAATCAAACAATTTCTTGCAATACTACAGTAATTATTGTGACAAATTGGACAAAAATTGCTAGCAAAAACATCAAGAACGAGCCACATTGCATTCTCGACCTTAAAAGGATCAACAATGGCAATTTGTTCATTTCTTCACCAAATTGAGTCAAACAAGTCTCAAATTACTCCCAAGGCAATACATAAACATAATCAAGCAATTTCATGGCATAAAATTGAACAAACAAAGAGAATTAAGCATTCTAAGTTTTGAATTTTCATGAAATTCGAGAATATACACATGCAAAATTCATAAAAACCGGTGTGAGTTTGAAGAAAACTTACATAGATCGGGAAAATGGATGAAATAAGCTTTGATTTGCGACAAATTTGAGCGAATTTGGTTGAGAAACGAGCAAGAACGAAGCAATTGAAGTTCTGGGAATTTTCGAAGCCGAAATGCGAAGAGCAGCAGCGAAAATGAAGAAGAGAAGGGTATTTAAGGAAAACCCGACTCTGGCGCCAAGCGCTAGACCTTGGCGTCAACAGATAGGCTTGGCGCCTGGCGCTAACTCCAGTGTCTGGAGCTACAGCCAGTTAATTGGCGCTGATGTTTTTTCAACGGCGCTAGAACATTCAGCCACTCAGTATGTTTTTTCTAATCTTTGGCAATATTATGGGTTCCTTGGTACGCTAGTTAGCCCCTTTAAGCAATTTGACACGATTTTTAGTAATCGGCTTGATTGCACAAAGTGATCAACCTGATAAAAGATCGTCTCACTTAGCTTAAAGCGCCTAAGCATTGGCTCATTAACAAAAGGCACCGATATACTGGTTCATTTGCAAAAGGCACCGATATATTGGTTCATCATTCAGCAAAGGGCACCGACATACAGGTTCAAAGCAGCAAAAGCGCCGACGTAAAGGCATAGCGGAAGCAAGGTTCAAGCGAACTTTTAAAGATCGACAAGCGGAGATCTTCGGTAATTTCCTTTGGAAAATTATCGCGACAAGTGAGGATAGCTTCAAGCGAGAACATCTTCGACGGCGTTCCCTAGATTGTGGAAAGTTGTCAAAAAACAACTGAAGGTGATTTCAAGCGAAGTTGTCTTCGATCATGTTCCCTTAGACGTGGAAGATGGTCACAAAGCAGAAGAGGATTGTTTCAAGCGAAGCAATCTTCGATGGTGTTCCCTTAGACGTGGAATATTATCTAAGTGGAAGAAGATTGTTTCAAACGAAGCAATCTTCAATGTTGGAAGCAGTTACAAGCGTAGCTGTTTTCAAGCGGGATGGCATTCTCTTGGCAGGAGGTCATCAAAATAGTAAAGCGGCAGCAAATCGGTTACTTTCAGAGGCGTGTGCTTGACGGTGCAAGATACGCGTTTCTTAACTCTTTTATCTGTTTAACTAACGCTAGTTTGCAGGTATCGGCGTTACAAGAATGATTTAGGGTCGCAGAACGTTCTGAATCATTCTCCGTCCCTATCAATACTTTGACTTTCATTTTCGAAACTTGCGTTTCTCCAAACTCACCTAAAGTGGAGGCTTCTGTAGACACCCATTTGTGTCTCCCCAAAACCAAACCCGATGATGAATACCTTTCACGTCGAATCATAATCGAATGAAGTGAAAGTGTGGAAAGTTTAGTGTTGCGGATAGTTTTAATTTCTTTTCTCCTCTCTCTATTTTTAAAAACCTACTTTAAGAAAACAGCCAATCCAGTTTTTTTGGTCCATGATATGGGTCCAATAGAAGTGTAGTTGGATAGGGCTTGAAAAGAGCTTTCCAACAATATATTATAAGCCCAATTCCGATGAATATTGAGGAAGTTATGGCCAAATTACTGAACTGGGCCCGGTTTGAGCCTTATATGCGGCCCAATGATCTAGAGGAGGGCCTAATATGGATTTATCATTCCTAATGCAATTAGGAATGGTTTTATTCTTCTAGATTCTTCTAGAAGGTTCTTTTCATTCCTAATTCAATTAGCATTGATAAATTGACTTTTTGTTGACTTTTTAGAGTTTTATTTAGAATCAAAGAACGTTTTTGAGGAAAATACGATTTTATCCTACTGTACGGCAATTTCTATCTAATTTTAAGAAAACGCGTAGATTTCTGAGTCAGCGCCAAACACCAGCTGTAGCGCTTGACGCTACGCTTGGCGCCTGACGCTAGCCTTAGCGTCTGGCGCTAAGGTCAGCGTTTGGCGCTAACTTGGCTTTTTGCGTCAGAACTCTGTTTTTGATGTTTTATCTTTTTGGCTGATTTTCTCTATAAATAACGTGTTAAAAACTTTGTTTTGATTCACCAACTCTCATCAAGTTTTCTTGATTACTCTCTCTCTCTTTTCTAAGCTAGCCTTCTCTCAAAAATAAAAATTCCGCATTCATTAGATTTAGATACGCCTAGCCATATTCGAAGTTGTCTTCGCCCTAGATGTGAAAGATTTTAATTTCTGAGGGTTTGGTCCCAAATCTCTATTTCAATTATTTAATTTAATTGTTGTTTTTATTTTTTTCCTTGAATTTACTAACGTGTGTATTTTGTTATTAGAAAGAGGTACGAGGCATCAAAGTAAGTTCTTTAATGGTTTTTATTGATGTTGTGATATAGAGTTCATGCTTAGGTTGTTATTATGATTTTCGTATTATCACGTCTAGGGTAAATTTAATACTAAGTATGATTAAAAGTATGATGTCTTTTATTTTCTTCCTAATATTTATGATCGTTAGTATCATGTTAGGGCTATATATTTGATCTTTGATGTTTAGTGACATGCTAGGGTTTGTTATTAATCTTGTTAGTATCATTCCTAGGATCTTGCTATTAATATTATGCTTTAATATGATTTTGATTATTATAATTTATTATGATTATAATTATGATATTTATTATGATTATTATTATTTGTTAATATTATGTTGCTTGATATTTATTGTTATTGCTTGATCACACCTTTTATACATGTTTAAAGGGAATTGGTACTTGTAATCACGCTTAATAAGATAATTAATAATCTTGTTTAGGGTTAATTTGATTATAATTCAAGTGATCGCCAATAATAGTTTTATTTGTGCATTAATATTCAATCAACATAGATAAACAGGTTTAGGGTTAATCCTATTGATTGCATGTTAGTCAGAAAGCGCACATGAATACGATCAGAATAAAGTAGAGGCCTATTATTAGGGCAGGTTCAATCTCTTTTAGGTTGGATTTGTACCTTCATCCCCGAACCCTATTTGGTTCAAGACCTTATGGAGTTGAGGATCTCTTGGATCGTTAAGGGGTGTAACCTTCACCTCGTGAACAGTTTACAAGTTCCTAAAAAAATTTGTTGGCGACTCTTTTGCTCTATCTTCTTTCCCTTTGGACGTCACCGTACTTTAGTGTATGATCACAGTGGGGTTCAAGCTAGGGGATTAACGCTTGAAATATTCCCTACACTTGTTAATCCACAAGTAAATCCTGAAAATTACCTCAGTGGAGCAGGGTAAAAATACATGTATTGTTAGTTATACTTCAATATTTTGTAATTTAGTAGTTTAGAAGTACAAATTGTAACATGTATTTTGGAAATTATAAATAAAAATCATTATTATTACTTGTTTTCTTCATTTTAAATAATAAAAACAAACGTCATTAAGTTTATAAAAATATTATGCAAAATAATAATTATTATTTGCAAAAAAACGATAACTATAATAATAAAATATAATTAATAGTGACAATTACAAAAGTAGGATCAAAATTTGGTGTCTACACCCTTGTTGTCCCTTTTTCAATTGAAATTCCCACTCGGGTTCCCCTCAACCTTGGGTTTCTTTCTCACTCCCATTGAAAGCTCCACTAGGCTTCCTCTTTTCCCCAGAATAGTTTCCCTCTAGCTCTCTCCCTTTGATCCCAAAAAGGTGTGCTGCCCTCCCGTAAACCTCATCTAAGGTCTCAAAAGTCACTCCTCCCAATTTCCCTTGAAGGGTTAAAGTCAAACCTTGCTCAAACCTCTGGGCCTTAAGTGCTTCAGTTGGTACTACCTCAGGTGCAAATCTCATTAACTCAATGAACTTGCTATAATAATCATTAATCTTCATGCTCCCCATCCTAAGGTTTGTAAACTCCATACACTTTTCTTTCCTCAAATAGGCAGGGTAAAACTTCTCTCTCAAAGCTTCCTTAAATTCAGCCCACTCAAAGTTAGGATTACTCAAAAAGTCATCTCTCCTTTGACTTCACCACAAATCGGCTTCCTCTCTAAGGTAATAAACAGCATTATTGACTTTTAATTCCTCAGGGCAATTAATAGCATCAAAAAGTTTATCAAATTCTCTCACCCAATTTTCTAAGCTCGCTGGGTCTACTTTGCCAAGGTAAGTGGGTGGTTTGGCCGCCAGCTATTCTTTTAAAAACTTCCCCAAAAGCATCAAGGTCATATTGGTTTTTCCCTGGTTTGAGACAATACCAGCTATGTTTTCGATTATTTTGGTTAGCTTTTTGATGACAGAGTTGACCTTGGAAATACTCCCTTTCTTAATTCGTTTCCTTAGAGACATGATCCTGAATAATGTGGTAATTAAGCACATGAATTTACAAAAAAAATTATTTATCCATCCAACAAGGACTCAGAGATGTGATAACTTTACTGTTCACAAAATATTTTAGTACTAAACGTTTCATTAAATTAACTTGTAAGTCTAAATTGCCATTAAGAGCAACTCTAGGTAGCATCTAAAAATAAATCGTCACAAGATTTTATCATAATTTGCATGCAATTATAACACACAAATCAACAAAACACTTCACCATATAACACTAGTAGAAAAATACAAAAAGGCAACCCCCAAATGCCACCGGTTCAAGCCAAACTGGTGGCAAAAACCGGCCTAAAAATGGGCGGGTTTTTAGACAAAGAGAAATGGCACCGGTTCGGTTCAAACCAGTGCCAAAAATACAAAGGGCACCGGTTTGAACCGGTACCAATCCTTTAAAAAAAAAACCGGCCTTTTTTTTTTTAAAAAAAAATCCATTTATACTACCCTCAAACCCTATTTCACTCACTTTCTCACTCAAACCCCATTTATCCTAAAACCGCCGCTCCCTCATTCTCTCTCTCATCCCTTTCTCTTTCATCTGCTCTCATGCATTTTCATCTGCTCTTTCTCGATCTCGTTCTCTTTCAATCCCTTTCTTGTTCTCTTTCAATCCCTTTCTTGAAATCCCTTTCTCGTTCCCTTGATTTTTGTGGGTTAGTTCGAATTTTTTTTATGGGTTTTTTGGAATTGTTTCTGGGTTTGTTCGAATCGTTTCTGGGTTTGTTCGATTTTTTTATGGGTTTAATCCACCACAAACATATGCATGAGCAAGGTTAGAGTATAATTTCTTGATTTTAATTCGTTTTGTTTTTATTTTCTGGGTTTTTAACTGATTTTCGAATGTTGTTTTTATTTTAATCGATTTTAATTTTATTTATTTAAGCGATTTTTAATTTTCTGGTTTGGTTAATCGATCTTTAAACCTATTTTAATTCGATTTTTTTTTAATTTCTGGGTTTTTAACTTATTTTAATCGTTTTGGCCCATTTTAATCGATTTTTTTTATTCGATTTAAATTAAAAAAAAATATTTTCTGGGTTTTTTTCCTGATTTTAGATTTTGGTTTTAATTTTCCGGGTTCAATTCTGGGTTTTAACTGATGTTCTGGGTTTTTTTTTTCTTTTCAATAGATTTTCTTTTTTATTTTTCGATTTTTTTTATTTTTATTCGATTTAAATTCGATTTTTTTTCTGGGTTTTTTTTTTCCTGATTTTCAATTTTGGTTTTTATTTTCTGGGTTCAATTCTAGTTTTGTAACTGATGTTCTGGTTTTTTTCTTTTCAACTGATTTTCTTTTTTATTTTTCGATTTTTTTTAATTTTATTCGATTTAAATTCGAAATTTTTTTATTTTCTGGGTTTTTTCCCTGATTTTCGATTTTGGTTTTTATTTTCTGGGTTCGATTTTCTTTTTTATTTTTCGATTTTCTGGGTTTTTTTTAATTTTTTTCGCAGCTTAATTAAATCATTATAATCGATTTATTTTGGTTGTTTTAATTGGTGCAGGTAGATGGATTTAGATCTTAAATCGAAGAATCAAGATGCAAGTATATTGATTTAGATGTTGTATGGGTTTTTTTAATTGTGAAGTTGTAAATTTTTTTTATTTATATTGTAATTTTTTTTTATTTATATGTTGTAATTTTTTTATTTTGATTTATATGTTGTAATTTTTTTATTGATCTATACTGTAAATTTTTTTTATTATATATATATTGAACATATTTGATTATATTGATTGTGTTGTTCGATTTATATTTGTATTCTCATTTAATTTTAGTTTATTTAATTTTTAAGTTTAAAAAAATCAATTTTTTGGCACTTTTGGCATCGGTTAACTGGTGCCAAAAACAGTGAATTAAATTTTTTTTTGTATTTTTTGGCATCGATTAACCGGTGCCAATTCCGAGTTTTGGCACCGTTTTGAACCGGTGCCTTTTTAAACCACTTATTGGCACCCCCCACATTGGCACCAGTTCAAACCGGTGTCTTAGGCCGGGTTTGAACCGGTGCCAATTCCATTTTTTCACGTAGTGTAATTCACATAAGAGTGCAATTCACCTTCCAATCCATTTCCACCTGAATAATTATCGAATAATCCATGAACCTTCGCCAATATACTCATCTTAATCCATTTCGAAATTTAATCCAAACCATTATATTCTAAGACATAGTTTGGACGTTTGATTAGTCCATATGCACATAATTCATGTAAAGTTCGAAATCATTTCATAATACGTTTCAAAATATTATATATTGGTTATAAGTTGAATACTTGATTCATAATGTGGATTAATTGGACCAATGAGATCCCGGGTAGGAGAGGTTAGGGACGACATTACCCTGAGCCCAAGTCCTGCCTAGCCAGAGCTCATGGCCAATCCAATAATCTCCACTATTAATCTTTCTTCATATTAAAATGGAAAGTAGTTTTTACTTAAATATATACTTAATATACACTTTCAGAAAATAAATACGAAACTCTATCCTATATATGCCCTTCTTAGGGTCTACCCATCAGTTTTATATTCCAATTTTTATCTTTTTAAGACCCGAAAACTGATACCACTTTGTAACACCCCCAAAATACTCTCTAATATTAACAATAATAATCCAACTTTAGGGAGTAACTTAGGAGTATTACCGCCACGTGATTACGTAAGGCTTTAACAGAGTTTTGTAGCGGAAAATAATACTTATCTTTTATTAGTAATAATAATAGTAATAGTAATAGTTTTGAAATACTTCCAAAGTAACTGCAACACTAATACTATGTTTACTAAATTAAACTAGGTGATCACCGCACGCCCATCGTTCCCAATGCTGCATATTTTCACGTTGTCTGATCGCCATCATCTATCTACTCAACAAAATGATAAGTAGGGTCAAGCCAAAACAAAACAAATACGTATTAGCCAAAATGCTAAGTACATACAGATGTTGGACATGTAAATCAATGTAATTAATTAAACATGTTATCAAAGAGATTTAACTTTAATAAATCATAATTTATCCAAACCATTCATGAATAGAAATTCAAGTATAAAAGCTTGTCAAAAGGACCAATTTCCGAAATAACCAACTTTCCAAAGATAATTCCGAATAGGATGGATCAATCCATATTTTCATAAATCATTTTCCCATATAAGTGTGCACACCCCTCCAAGCTAGTAACTCCTTTACATAGTGCTGTCAAGGGGAAAGAGTAGGTCATACAAAATCCATAGTTTTCAATTTACTCCGCATAGTAGGAGTTAAAAATCAAAAGATCCAAGGAATAAATCTTGTTAAATAAACTTTCCAATATGCCGTACTCGAGATAATTTAAACAATAAAACTTCCTTTTTAAACATCTTGAATATCAGTACAAGTTTTTAATCAACCATATGAAACATTTAAACATTTGAAATTAAACGATCAAAATATGTTTCACCGATTCGCAATCATTTAAACATGGTTTGAAATCACTTAACATGTAAATCACGTTGCATATAAAAGTCATTTTATGAAAGATCTAGCCACGTGTACGTAACTTGATCCTTGCAAACAAGCACGATGTTCCTAATTACGAACTTGAAATCCCTACAACAATAAACACAAAGTCCTAATAAAAAACTCTTCAACCCATAAACACTAGTACATAAAATGTAGACCCTTGATTTAGTTGTGCACGGTCAATTTGTTTAACTCTTGTAATGCTTATACTTTCATAGTTCAAGAAACCTTTTTAATATTAAGAGAGTTAATTATATTATTAATGACAACAATAATAACAATAAAAATAATAATAATAATAATAATAATAATAATAATAATAATAATAATAATAATAATAATAATAATAATAATAATAATAATAACATGTAGTAGTAGGAGTAGTACGTAGAGTAGCAAAATACCAACAATATAATGATAATAACACTTATAACATCATGAATAGTAGTAGTACTTATTTTAGTGTGTAGTAGTAGTAGTAGTAATATAAATATTGTAGTTGTTTGATATGATTTAATCAAAATAATAATAACAATAATTTATAATGATAGATTATCATTAGTATATATGTAGTACTAGTAGTGTACAGTAGTAGTAGTAGTAGTAGTAGTAGTAGTAGTAGTAGTAGTAGTAGTAGTAGTAGTAGTAGTAGTAGTAGTAGTAGTAGTAGTAGTAGTAGTAGTAGTAGTATGACCCAAAATGAAGAACATCATCAACAACAACAATGTAGTATCAAAACAAGGTTGGAAGCTTAGATAATCAAGCAAGGGAGGAAGGTGGAGGGACTACCTACGGGTGGCAGCAGCGGCAACGGTAGGAGGGCTGCAACAAGGTGGACGGAGTGGTGGTGGCCGTGGTGTTCACGGCCAAAGAGGAAGAAAGATGAATCAAAGGAATAATTAGAAAGGAGAAGATGGAGGATGAAGAGATTAGTTTGGGGAAGATGAATGTGGGAAGTGTGATTGATTTTCATGGCTATTTATAGCCTCAATTAGGCATTATTTCACCTATCTCCAT